CTTCTTCTTCTTCTTCTTCTTCTTCTTCTTCTTCTTCTTCTTCTCCTCCTCCTCCTCACTCCTCCTTACTCCTCCTCCTCTTTTTTTACTGTTACTCTTCTTCTTCCTCTTCCTCCTCCTCCTCCTCTTCATCAAAGAGATGAGCAACTTAATTTGGCTTCTGGGTGCCATCCTGCACATTTACCCAATGGTTTAAACATTTTCTCACTGCTACATTCTGTTTCTGCATTAAGCCTTTTTGAATAACCTTAAAATGTCACTTTAAGCAGGAAAATAACAGGATTATATAGAATTTTATATGAACCTTGCAGTGAAAATGTCACTACAATAGGGCAATTTTTTTTATTAGAAGATCCTTCCTTTTCTCCCTTATTTAGTTCCTATTAAAATGTTCAATGTTTACCTAGTAATTCGAATTTTGCCTTTTTTATTTTTTGAGCAACAACAGGACTTCTTGGAAGGCCCATTAAAAAAATTAAATAATTCCTGGCATATGTATAATTATTGCCTGACATTTCAAAATGTGATTCCAGGATATATATCACACAAGTTACAAGGTTCCTGCCAGTAGGCAGCATAATTCCAAGGTAACTCTCAAGGGCTTCCTTGATAAACATTATATTCCTACTACCATTTGCAAGACCCACATGAGATCAATGTAGATGTAACATTTTTCATGTCAATGGAAACTTCCCTCCTACAGCAAACTGTAGATTGGGGCAGAGTGGAGACAAATTCCAGTCTAAACATCTGACTGACTGTGCAACCAACCAATAATGTCTAGGGAACAGTGGATAATTGAATGTTTGAGGCCACCTACTTGGGCTCCAACTTTGTTATGGTGATAATGATATGACATCACTGGAAGGATTTTATCTGTTCTTTGAGAGTTTGTGAGAGAGGGATAAAATGGGAGGCCTCCAAGAATTAATTCATTTCCATCTACACTCTTACAACTCTCCCAAAGCAGCCAAAATAACAATTTTGATTGCATGATCTGGAAGTGTTGAAATATCAACATGTGGCTCATAGGCTGTGGATGGTAGTTTAGGCACAAACCCCTCTTATTTCTTTTGCATTGTTATCCCATTGAGAAGAAACCTTCTTTTCCACCCTGGGGTTTTCCAATAATTTACTGGTGAAACACAGTGTCTGTTGTGCCTAGTTAGTTTCTTTAAAGCACAAGGTTGGAAAAAAGTTGGCCAATATTTCATTGAGATATGACTTAATGATACAGCATTTGCTTAGTATGTGTGTATATGGGGTGTGTATTGTATGAGACAATAGATAATACTGTAGATAATAGATAGATAGATAGATAGATAGATAGATAGATAGATAGATATAGATTAGACATAGATATAGTCTCATGACATTACCTGATTTCAGCCATGAGATTATTAAAGGTTTTCTGAGTGTTTTTTTTAAAAAAGCTAACTATTAAACAGTAATTCAAAAGCCACTCTGTGAAAATAGGCAGGCTTTTAGCAGAAAATAAGAAAAAAGAGAGAGAAAGAAAGAGATAGATAGAGAGGAAAGAAAGAAAGAGAGTGAAAATTAAGAGAAAGAAAAAGGAAGGAAGGAAGGAAGGAAGGAAGGAAGGAAGGAAGGAAGGAAGGAAGGAAGGAAGGAAGGAAGGAAGGAAGGAAGAAACAAAATCACGTGACTCCTTAGCTGTCAAATCTCTTTTACATTTGCCAGCTGGAAACCTCAAAAATATAGAAGATGTTGCAAGATTTTAATAAAATGACATTATATGTGTCAGAATACAAACTAGAATGTATTTGAATGCACTATGTGAATGCATTTATTTAATATAATTTTATACTGTCTTCTTTGTAAACTGGTTATAGAATTCATAGAAAGCATTCCTACTGAATCAGTTATGTAAATAAATTCCATTAAAATTAATGAGCTGAATGTTAGCTTAAATAAATGTCTATTTGACATCACTTGAACTTCTAATAAGTGATTTTTACCATATAAGTAACAATAAACAACAGTTTTAAAAAACAGCATTAAACCAAACAGAGCCAATCTCAAGTAATCTAAATAATTGGCAGGTTAAATTAATGGCTCTTTTTACATTCACAGTGTAACTGTCTTAAAGGGAAAAAAACAAAGGAAAGGAAAAGAAAAGAAAGCAAGAATGTTCTTATTAACTTAAAAGGAAATGTCATCGGTATTTTAATCCTAGATAAAAAAAACGAAACTTAAAAGGTGGAATAGATCCAGAGTAACCTTGAAAATGCCATTGGTCCTTCTTTTAAGATTATAAAAAGAGTTAATTATCTCCTTACTTTGGGTCTTTAAATTAGTCCTTAAATGAACCCTCTGCATTGCTTTTCTGACATGTTTTTTCCCCCCTTTTTTCTTGTTCTCTTTTATCTCTAAGTCTAGGAGCCACTCTTTTAATTTCTCATAGTGTCTGTAATGCATGATGTACTATTACTGGAAATTAAAGTGGCAGTTTCTTCTATAAACTTTGGAGAGTCTCTAATGGCTACCAACCTTTATCCAAATCCATCAAATGATGAAAAATAATAAACTAACTCCCACCATGTTGTGTGTGTTGCTGCATACATAAGAGGTGGAGTTTGTGTTGTGTATTATGACATATCACCCTCTGGTCCTTCTCATTGACTTCTGAACCATTGTTGTGGCCCTGTTGGATCCCAGTTTGAAGGAGGATACAGATACAGATAATCAGAGTTGGAAGGGACCTTGTAGGTCCATCTAGTCCAACCCCCCGCCCAAGCGGAGGAACAATTGGATCTGGGACCACCCAATGGACTATGTTGCATTGACTATGGGTGGCTGCCTACCGCAGGGGTCGCCAACCTTTTGTACTTCAGGGACCACCATACTCATAATTTTAAATCCTGTGGACCAGAGACCCTGGGAAAATCTCCAAAAAAGTCTGCAGGAAAATTTCCCTCCCCATTTTCCTACCGATCGATCATTCTTTATTTGGGATCGCAGGATGCTGTCTCCAGCTCCATTCTCAGGGAGAGAAGGAGAGAGAGAGACTTTTGGCTTCATGCAAGGAAAGCAGCAGAAGCAGCAGAAGTCTTTCTTTCTCTCCCCCAAATTCTGCCAGAAATGAATCTTTGTGAAACTTGTCGCACTGGCGCAGCCTCTTGGAGCAGGGTGCCTTGCAGGGTCCCAAAGACTCATTTCTGGCGGAGTTTAGGGGAGAGAAAGAAAGATTTTTGCTGCTTTCCTTGCGTGCAGCCAAAAGCAGAAGAAGAAAGAAGCGGAAAGAAGCAGCCCGGTGGCCAGGTGAGATGCATGGGGCGAGTGGGGCAAGTTCCCCCCTCTGTCCTTTTCCCCCTCCCCTCACTACCTTGTGTTGTTTGCAATGCAAGTGACGCAAGCCATGTGTTCCCATGGGCCATGTGGGCGGCGCAGCCTTGTGATCCCACACAGCCTGGATTAATTGCTTTGGGGGGTGTTTTGGGGGTGACATTTCTCCACGGACCACCAAATTTTTCTCGCGGACCACCAGTGGTCCCCGGCCCACTGGTTGGTGACCTCTGGCCTACAGGAATGTTTGGGGTGTTTTAGCGGGCCACTGTAGGTCCATTTGTTATGGGATAGCAAATCAATAAAAAGACTTTATTGAAGCCTGCATCTGCCTAGGCAACATGTCATAACAGCTATTGCTTAACTCCATCTGGAGCTAGTGTTAATAAAATCAATTGCTATGTTCTTCTTATGCAGCATTACTTAGTAAATTGAGTTACTAAGACACAATAATTTTTATTACTCACAGATAGTGGCCAAGAATAAGACACTACAGGTACTCCTTGACTTATAGCCATTTGTTTAGTGGCCATTCAGCACTGAAAATAGTGACTTATCACCATTTTCACACATGTGACTATTGCAGCATCCCCATGGGCATGCCATCACAATTCAGATACTTGGCAACTGGCATGTAATGTCCTGGGGTCATGTGAGGCGTGGGATTCTACCAGTTCGCACCTATTCGCTAGAGCCAGTTAACATTCTAAGCAGTTTGGAGAACCTGTTGTTAGAAGAAATTACTGGACGAATCCTGTAAGGAAGGCAGGAGGGAAACATTCTGGTGTTGCTTACAGAAACTGCCTCTCCATTAACCCTTATTACATTCTTGGCAGGACTAGACTTCCTGTCTCAGGAACGTCTCTGGAGTTTTCCCCCTCCTTTGCTGGTACTTTGCTTGTGTGGAGTGACCATTCAAAGTTACAATGGCACTGAAAAAGTTACTTATGACCATTTTTCACACTTACGACTGTTGCAGCATCCCCACAGTCATGAGAGGCCAGGGGAGGAGATACATGCCTCGATGTGAGTGATATTGAGTTAGCCACACCCAGCCAATAACATGACCACCAAGTCATGTCCACCCAGTCACATGACCACCAAGCCATGCCTACCACTTAAGCCACGCCCACAGAACCGGTTGTTAAATTTTTTGAATCCCACCCCGGGTCATGTGATCATCTTTTGCAACCATTAGACAAGTCAGTGGAGAGCCAGATTCATTTAACAACTGTGGCCAAAAAGGTCATAAAATGGGGGCAAATCTCATTTAACAACTGCCTTAGCATCAGAAATTTTGGGTTCAATTGTGTTTGTAACTTGAGAACTACCTCAAGTTGTCTGAACATATTATTGGACAGCTGAATATTTTAAATATCCCAGATCCATTATTAAATATGTGGAACTGAGTATGGTCCATAATGATCTCAAGTACAGATTAAGTTCTCAACAGAATGGAAATAATAATAGATTTAAAATGGGAACATTGCAAACATCAGATACACTCGACTACTATGGGATTTTTTTAATACATTAAATTAAGACCTGAAGGGAGATTTTAACTGACATTTAATACATGCTCTTCTGTGTACTTACATTGACAAGCTTTACTATGTGCAAACTTCAGTGTTGACCTATGATGTCTAACTTGCCCTCAAAGAAGTCAACATGAAACAAAGAATTTAAAAGAGTTTGTTACCTCCCAGGCTATTACTAATTCATGCCGCCTTCCACTTCTGCCACTTACATTACCGGGAGCTGTCTTTGGCACTGTGGATAGAAAGAATAATTAGAAAAAAGAAAACCAATCAGAACATCCAAGTTAGAATATAGAATAATAGGGCTAGTCCAACCTCCTGCTCAAGAAGACCAAAGGAGACCAAAACAATTGGTTTTTTTTTACAATTTTTAATTTTTTCCTCTATTGCAAAAAAGTACCACACACACACACACACACAAACACACACACACACACACACCTCTTCCCCATAACAATTCACTCTATTCCTGGAGTGATTCAAATATCAGGACATTTCACAAAACTTCTCCCTTTGCTTAAGAAAGAGAAAGAAAAGTCACTATTCTGTGATTATTTTTTTTAGAGCAGTAATGTTAGGTTGCATTCTCCAGTGCTATGACTGAAGGGGTGTCAAACTCGCATTGTCATGGCAGCGTCACGTGACGTATTGCAACTTTCCCCCCCTTCGCTAAACCAGGTGTGGGCGTGGCCAGTGTGTGATGCATCCGGCCCGTGGGCCACAAGTTTGACAGCCCTGACTTAATGGGATGGGTTGATTCATCCAATGAGGGCTGTATTTCCATTACGCCTTGGACTTCCAAATGTTTATTTTGATATCCTCAGACAATGGTAAGTAGGTATCCAGGAGAATGGAAAACGGAGATACTAAAAGCACAACAATTGCAACCATTCTGATAGAGGAAAGAAATGGAGGTCAGAGGAAGAAAACTTTTGCACAGTTTTTAAAAACCTTTTTATACATGCTGTATTTCTATGACCTATTTTATACTTTTGTCACTTGCTCAGTGTTGAATGTTATATGTTTATAAGTTGAAGGTTCTTCTGACATGAATAAAGAAAGCAAAATAAACCAACATGGCTACCCTCCTGTCTCCCCCTCCCAAAAAAAGCTTAGTAAAGATTTGAAACAAACTAACTAACAACAACAGAAAAAACCACATACAGGACACGGGGAAGATAGATCAGAAAAGGAGATTTCAAATAAAAAAGTTAGCTTCACATAATTTGCTTTAAGCAAATGAAATCTCATAATGAACTGCCCAGCTACCAAAGAATTATAAGAAAAGATTTTGGGTATGTACAAAATTAAAAATGAAGAAAATGATTTAAATAACAGCTACTTAATGCTAATACATGCTACCTGATGGACATATAACCTTTTTGAAAAATCTTGTGAAATTTATGAAATAACACAATTGGAGAAGAATAAATATCTCTTTTATCAAAAAGCAGAAAAACATGGATACCTGAGAAGATTCTAAAGGAAGATTGATCTGCAAACACCTTAAAAACAATGCTGTAAGTACCAGAAGGCAACATATTATTTGTCATGAATGAATCTCTAGATGACTTAAAACCGGACGATTTGCTAATATCCAAAATGAAAGAAAGAACATTTGAAATGATCTTGATAGATGGGAGAAATTGTCTGAAAATAACAGAATGTAATGCAAGACGGACAAGTGTAAAATTGTTCACATAGGAAACGCAAGCAAATGCTCTGGCTTTTGTAAGAATTGGGGTAATCAGCCTGCAAATATTATTTGTGTGAAATTTCCTGGTAAAGTAGTGATTGCAAACTGAATAGGAGCCAGTAATGTGATTAGGCTGGGAAAATGCATTTAGACCACCTACTAAAATACATCTGGTATCTATTGTTAAGGTAGTCTACATTTAGTCATTCAACATAAAGACAGCTTTTTGGTCTTGTGATATCTAAGGATCTCTGCGGGGTGCAGAATGGCATCAACTTCTGAGAAAGCTACTGACTCGTTAAGGAGAGAACTGGGTATATAAACAAGCTTGCCTGATACTTTGGAAAGATTATAAGCTAGATATTATGAGGAAAAACATTGGAGCGCTTGGAGGTTTATCTGTATCCTCTGGGTCACCTGAGTAGTGCTCCTGGTTCTTGTAGTACTCAGGTGGCCCTAAGGACACAGGAAAACCTCCAAGTGCTTCAACAGTCCTCTAAAAGTATGTAAATAACCAGCTGTCTGCAAGGGATATAAATCCTTCCATTCCCCACCATTCTGTCAGAGCTGAAGAAGCTTTTGGATGAGAAGCAAAATGTCTTCAAAGAAAAAACCAGAAAGTCCAGTTGTCTCCTGAAAAAGCACCTTTGGGACAACCATGGACCTGGATGACTGAGAATCTCTATAGAATAGAATAGAATAGAATAGAATAGAATAGAATAGAATAGAATAGAATAGAATAGAGTTCTTTATTGGCCAAGTGTGATTGGACACCCAAGGAATTTGTCTTGGTGTAAATACTCTCAGTATACATAAAAGAAAAGATACATTCGTCAAGGGTCAAGAATCATAAGGTACAACACTTAATAATCTCTATAGACTATTGCTCTTGATGCATCCATGATATCTTCAGGGTTTTGTTTTGTGTGCCTTCAAATCCATCTTGACTTCTGGAAGCTGCATTTTTCAGAAGTGGTTTGCCATTGCCCTTCTTCTTCCTAGGGCTGAGAGGGAGTTGGAAGCTCAAGGTCACCCAGCTGGCTCTGATACTTAAACCAGGACCAGAACTCTTGGCTTCCTGGGCAACTTCTAACTCAGCTCCTTTAATCACTTCATCAAACTGGCTCCAGTAGACATATTAAATATAACAGGCCTTTCCGATGCATTAGAATTTGAAATATTGCTTTCTTTTCCTCTCTCCGCCTGCATCTCCAGCTACATGCAGCTTTAATAACTTGGCAGCATTAATCATATCTCATATTGGGACATGCAAAACATCGTCTCAGAAGACACATATCCTTGATGCTATTTTGCTAGGGGCACCCTTGTAACCTTGGTCAAGTCACTTTGGCCTCCATTTACCTTCCGTTTATCCTTTAGTCTGCCTGCCTTGGCAATTGGATATCTTATTTTTGTCTTTAATTGTTGATGTGGCTTTCATTGTGTCTGAGATTAGACAAGCTCCTGAAGCAAGAGGCAAGGTTAATTGAGAAAGGACAGCTCAATGAAACACCTTTGCCACCGAAAAAGAGAATGAAAGTAGCAAAGGCAATGAAATGATAGTGAAGGAGGAAGCAAAAGGCAACTGTATTAGTACTATGAAGAAAGCAGTCAAGTACAAGCATAGGTCAGGGATACCAGTAGCCTGTGAGGGGCACTCTTGGCAGCTCAGCTCCCTGTATGCGCTGCCACTTTGCAATACTAAGGGTGAGAGGTTTGATTCTTTCAGATCCTATTTACTGATACCAGTCAATCACCAATGAATCCTATGGTCCAATGGGATGTCTGAAGCAAAAAGATTGCTGAAGTAGTGAAAGATGCAGCACCAAATGTTAATGTTCCAGCAGGCCTCCAAGAGTGGAAGTGTCTATAGCAGGGATCTTTAAACTTAACAGCTTTAAGACTTGTGGACTTCAACTCCCAGAATTCTTTCTCCAGTCATGTTAGCTCAGGAATTCTGGGAATTGAAGTCCACAAGTCTTAAGCTTGCCAAATTTGAAGACCCTTGGTCTATAGATATATTGGATGCAAAGTGTCTGTGGGATTTACATGCTTTTTATTTTCAGTAGCATCTGGGAATTTGAGGGGGGGAAACATTGAAGACATACAATTCAATGTCAATTGAATTGAATTGAATGAATTGAATGGTCAATGTCTGGAATGCACTACCTGACCCTGTTGTTACATCCTCAAACCCTCACTCCTTTAACCTCAAACTATCCACTATTGACCTCACCCCATTCCTAAGAGGACTGTAAGGGGCGTGCATAAGTGCACAATTGTGCTTACCTTCCCTCTTCTTTTGTCCCCATTTATTTGTACCTATTTCCTGTATTCTTACTTATGTTTATACTTATACCTATTATCTTGTAAGCAATTGACAAATCAAATAAATAAATAAAAATAAAATAAAAACATAAAATTCTTTTTGCGTCTAATTTAAGCGCTATTTCCAGTAGTATTAAGGATAATCCACCCTTGGTGTTCATAGAAGAAAATCTTAGGGACATAAATGACTGCATTTAATAGGATAACAGAGTTGGAAGGAATCTTGGAGCTCTTCTGGCCAAACCTTTGTTCAAGCAGGAAACCCTATACCATTGCAGACAAATGGCTGCCCAATCTCTTTCTTAAAATCCTCCACTGATGGAACACCACAATTTCCGAGGAAAGCTGTTCCACTGATTCATTGTTCTCACTGTCAAGAAATTTCTCCTTAGTTCTAGGTTGCTTCTCTCCTTCATCAGTTTCCACCCATTGCTTCTTGTCCTGCCTTCAGGTGCTTTGGATAATAGTTTGACCCCCTCTTCTTTGTGGCAACTCCTTAAATATTGCTATCATGTCAATGCAATGTATTTGAATTGGTCTGTCTTGACTGTGATTGGCAACAGGTATTCAAGGTTTGGGGTGGGCATCTTTCTCAACTTTCTCTGGTAATGCCAAGGTTTGCATGAAAAGCATGTGTCCAACCTTTAACTCATTAATTCTCAGTGTGCAAGCCAAGCCACAATGTGTTTATTTCACTTTGAACTCTGCCATTTGGTTTATAAACTAAGTCTTATGGCTTAATGTGTTTTGAGACCTTAGTCACTTCATTTCATAAGCCAGAGTTAAAGTGATCTGTGGCTTAGAAATAATGTATGAACAAAATAATTGTTTAAATAGAACATTAAGTACTATGTATTGTTAAAGCTTCATTCCTTTAAAATGTAAGATTACAAATTTAAAATAAAGTCTGTTGGGTATTTGAAAAAGCTTTCTATTGTATGGCTGTAAATAGAATAGATAAGCATCCTAACACTTCATTATAATTGATTCTTGCATCTGTTTCTTTTCTTAAGGCTCTTTTTATTTTCTTGTTTCATTCTTTTTATCAGTATTTATTGAAGAAACCAACAAGCATTAAGTGAAAATCCATTTACCATAAGCAAAAGACATCCCTTAAGTTCAAACCCTCCTAGGAACGTATTTCATACCTTTACTGGAAATAACTCTAAAAATGTGTGTCAGCTCTTTTAAAACAAAGTTGTTGCAGT